TCTTAAAAAAATTAAATTTTAAAGAATTGTAATTTATTTAACAACTTTATAATTTTTACAAATAATAACTAAAACTGTAGTAAAAAAGAATAAATCAGTCTCTTTATCTTCATCAAGGAATTAGAAAAAATCGACAAACCTTAAGATCGTCATCTTACCTCCTCCTTTACATGTATAAATAGAAAGTTCAACGTTAGAAAAGGGATTGAAATCTAAATATCATGAATTATATATATAATGAAAACAAAAAATAAAAGATAAAACGGAAGAATAAAAATTTAAGAATTTCTTGAGAATTGCGATCTCAAACATCTAAAATTCCAAAAGTTTTAGACATTTATATATTACGAATATCATAATTCATGAAGATGAGCCACACTCTATAATCTGAAAATTTATTTCTAAATTGCTTTAAAAAGTATTTTACATTGAAATTAAGGAAATTAAGTTAAAATGCGAATTCTTCACAACAAAATCAGATTCGACGTTTCAAGCATCTAAGCATCTAATTTTTATGAACTTGGGAAAAAAATAGAGGAAGATGAAAGGTTCTTTCAAATTCTAGAATTAAGTCAATCGTGGAATTAATGATAATAAATGCCGCATATAGCAATTTGTCATTCCGCGAAACTGAAATCCAAGCGCATCAATCCTCATCTCGCGTTTTTATTGGCGACTATTATGCAGTGGCGTCTTTCTTTACCTGCTTGGTAATTTGCAATGGCGCCTTGCCGATGGCGTCCGCGCTCATTGCCGACCCTGACATCAGAATAGCCCGTTTGAACAATCCTGCAACAAAATAAAGATGTCATTGATTAATAACTTAGCTATTTAACATCGCGTCCAGCAGTTCTCAAATGTTAAGTTAGCGTAGAGAAGAAGAATAAGGTCATTAAAAATTAATTTTTTTTTTTAATTCAATATTTAGAAATACTTGACGTACAAGAGTTTTAAGGATATTTGAATCTAATTGAAGAAGGAATTTATAGAATTATTAATATTTAAATCATTTGTATATACAAAAACTACTTTTTTCCTTGACAATAACAATGTTGAATTTTTAATTTTCCAACTGCGGTCTAACAAATGATTATATTTACGTCACGTATGGATAAGAAGGAATGCAGCTATTAATATAAAATGGCACCAATATTTTTGAGAACCCACGGTATGGCACGGGCATTTCTGTCTCGACGTGTAAAATATTAAGTCCGGTTATTTTTCATTGCACAATATAATTATTGGCCGGACGTGGTGGCATTGTGCGCCCGGCCGGAAGAGAAAAGTTCCTTTTCCCGGCCGCCATTGCGAGTCGGTCGGGTGAAAAATGGTCGACATCTTCTTTCTTGCTTTTACTCGTTCTCGCTGACCCTGCTCACTGCTGAGCACCGCCGAGTACTCGAAAGTGCTTGAGTGCTCGTGGTCGATGTATGCTCGCCATTGAACACGTGTAGACTACCGATTCTTAGATTCCCTTGTCAAACTCGGTCAAATATCACAATGCAAGTTCTTACGAATCGGAAAAAAGGAAAACTCGGAAGGAAGTAGTTGAAGTAGTTGAGATCTGAATAAACGACTATTCACTGATAATATACTGATCTAATAACTAAACTAATAGTTATGTATCTTACTTATATCCAATAATTGAGATGTGTAAAACAAAACGCCTTGATAATTCAACACTTATCTAAATTCAACAATTATCTAGTTCTTGGAAATATATTTCAAGTAGTTATTATTCAATATTTTATTATAATAAATATCCTCACTTTCAATTTTAATCATAAATTCCATAAATTTTCTCAATATCAGTAGATCATTTATTCCAAAGCATATACTGATCGAATATTGTTTCGACTGTACACATGTATTGCATTTAATGCGTATGCCTATCTCTCTCAGCTTGATTCCTCCAATTAATCTCACGATTATCCCTCGCCGACTCGGAAATCGTGATCCCTATATGCGATCACTGTACGCTCCTGTGACTATGGATAATGTTTCCAATTACAACGAGGAGAAGGATTAACTCGGATTGCATATAGTCCTTTGATTCTTGCGAGAGCGTATTGTTGCAAGCTAGTGGATGTTAAACTTTTTTCGGGACGACTTTCAAAAATTGATAAGACAATAAAATAAGAAATGAAAACTGAATCGTAGAAAACAACATTAAGAAAGAAAGATTTTATAGGAACAAGAAAAAAACGTGATTGTGTTAATGTAATATAATGTACAAACTTCTATTCCTATTTACCTTTTTTGTTGGCAACTGGACTGATTAGAAGTAGATTAGCAAAGATAGCTCCAGTTCCATGGCCGACCAAAGTAACACTATTAGGGTCGCCGCCAAACTCCGCAATGTTTTCCCTTAGCCAAAGTAATGCTGCTATTTGATCTAACAGTCCAAAATTGCTTGCTGTATCGTCTCTAATTCCAGGTCTCAGGAAACCTACAGTAAAAGTCTTGCATTTACTACACGAATAAATATCTCAATAATTAATTATTTATAAAAATTGAAAAAGGAAAACGTTTTAGAAAAACTGAAGAAACTAAGAATAAACTTTGAAAGCCTGAGATTTATATAGAAACCTATGGATTAGATTAATTCAAGAAATTTTCCCATGTTATTTGTTTAAAAGTTTTATTACTTCCAATCACTAAAAGCATAAAACTTAAACGAATAACGAATGAGAATTCCTTGAACTAATTAAGAATCTAAAAAGTCAAGGGACTATAAACTTGCGCATTAAGAAACGATGGTCGAAGGGTGTGTCTTAAAATTTTTCAACGGTAAGACCTGTTCAAACTGAAAATCCAAGAATCCGTGAAAGAAAGAAGTAAAGCTCATTAAAATAAATCCCATAAATATCCATCTCTCGACAACCTGAAAGCTTCTGAGACACACCTCTCTTTTTTTGTTTCTTATTGAGGCTCTCGAATAACTGGGATTCCAGGTTTCAAGATCCCCGGGGACTCGTGTATTCAGTGTCCCAATTAATTAGCTCCACGGAGATGCAAAATTCTCCCCCTCGTGCTTAAACATGAAGCACTTTCGCGCGGTAACGCGATCGCCAGAGCTGTTTTTGCTCGGCAGCCGCTTCGCGCTCGGGACCATATTTTTCCCCTGTTTTGCGCAGGGCGGACATGGTGGCGGCATAGCAGGGCGGGTAGAAGCTATCCGCAGGCTCCTCACGGGCTAACTCCACGGCCACCTAGAGCGGGTCGGGGTTACTAAGCGCTTCCCCAGCACTTTAACCTAATTTATGATTATGGTTTCGCGTCCGCCTCTTTTTTTCTTCCGCCAACCACTCCACTTACCGGATATACCGAATGTACTCACACCCGTACACGTGCGCACCACGAGCTCGTCTATTTGCATCGCGCCGTCGCTGTCATCTCGCGAGAAGGGATTGCCGGAATTTCGCTGTTAACCCCTTCAGGACGACCACAGTACACGACAATTTCGGATTGCAGGTGCCGCGATGCACCACACTTCTGGATGGCAGTTTTTAACGAACTTTTTGAATAATGACGCTTTCGCATGACCGCCCTCGTGCAACGGCAGAGAAATATATACTATTACCACATCAGTTATATACTTTTTTTTTAAGTAACAATGAGAAAAGTGCACACCTGGATAATACACGGAATAATTTAACGTTTTTTCATACCAGAAAGTACCATGTCGCAATCTAGCATGACCTCATTGTTGTTAAATCGCCCGTATGAATACGAATATTTTTATAATGTTTTAACTGAATCGAGCAATCCAAAAGATAAAATTTCTTGTTACATCTATGTTACCTCTGCGAATTTTACAAGCGCACAAGACAGCTTTTCTTTTTAGTTTAAAATAGTTGTTTGTGATTAAAATGATATAGTGAAAAGCATCATTTACACTTCCGGTGACGTGATAAATCTACTGCCTTGTATCGTGACCTCGGTAAACTTTCTTTGAAAGCAAAATCCAATATTGAAAAGCTCGAAGCGATAAAAATTTAGGTAGGAAGTTTGCGAAGCAGGCAGCAGCCTTGGTAAACGACAAACCGTAACGAAGTTATTTATTCGACGTGGTATACAGTTAAAGTATATTAGTACTTTTCCTCTTGGATCGATCGACAACTCTTTGTTGTTTATAGATAAGACCAACAAAGACGAGCCATCGTGTTGCAATGATCTTTGTATCTATCACATTCTTTCAACAATTAATAATTAAAAACAAATAGATAGATTCTAGGAACACAAATTATATATAATATTAAGAGCTATTAGAGACACGCTATTTGACAAATGTGATTTGTGAAACGAAGATTGATAAAACAATCAACCATTGTACCAAACATTTGGTTACTGTGGTCATTTTCATTTGGATATATTTAACAATACATACAAAATAAACATACAACATGGGCTGAGTCCTTGTGTTAAACATTTGTTGATTGTTTTATCAATCCCCACAATTTCACAAATCGCATCAATTAGCGGCTCTAATAACTTTAAACAATTTCGAAATAAAAGGTAGATAAGCCTGTATGAGCCAAAGCCAAATTAGCGGTATGTAAATTATTGTATATATTTATAAATAATTACATACAAATCGCATACATTTTGACCCCGATTAGTATCCTTTTCAGCGTTTATTGGTAATATGAGATGGTAATTAAATTTCGATCAAATCTTCTATCGTCATGTAAAAATAATTGAAATTGAGAAAGGTTAAAATTCTTCTACAAATAAATATATACAAAAGATCAGCTCTTTAAAGAGGTGCTGACGAATCACATTAACAGAATGTAGATGGAAGATTCAATCAAAACTTAATTACTATCTCACATCACTAATAAGCTTATTGGTAATGTGAGGACTCAAAGCGAGATCGAAACGTATGTGATTTGTATGTACTTATACTTTTGTACGTAATTATTTATAAATATTGATTCGCGCATTATTAACTGCATTGGCTTAAAGGGCTTCTCTTCTTCCTTTTATTTTATGATTCTTGTAACCGTATTGTATTATTGAATAAAAAATTTATGTTTTTTACCTAGAATACCAAGTCGAAAATTAATGGTAACAAAAACAATGTTGCCGTAAGCCGCTAATATAGTGCCATCATAAGGATTACCACTGTTCCACTCAAAGCTTTCACCGTGGATGAACATCATAACCGGATACTTCCTCAGATTTTTGTGACCTGAAACGATAAAGAAATTAAATATCTCACAACCGTTTAAATATTTATGTTTAAATATTTATGCAAACGTAATTTGTGTTCTCTTCGTTATTGACATTTAGAAATGAAAACCTTATAGCAACCGTAACCTACATTTTGTAAAAATGGAGGAAATGAATACTTTCTGTCACTCATTCATTTTTACCAATATTCCGCTACGTCAACCCGTTGTTACAGTAAGTCTTTAATTATTTAATTAACAAATTTTTCAGCTATTTTTCGAAGATTTTTTTTATGTTAATTAGCAAATAAGGATAAAATCTTCATTATTCTTTGGAGATCGACTATAATTTACCTTCTTCAACGATGGTAAAATTTTTTATTTGTATTTAAGAAGTTTTCCTTTGGAACGCCTTGAGGATCTCTGATTTACATCAGGCGAAAAATTATCGCTGGAGTTTGTTCGTGAAAATGGAAGCACAGGATTAGTCCTAAAATTTATATCATCCCCCTTGAAAACTATTCACACAGTGAGTTTTCGATATTAGGGTAACTATAAATTCTTCGCCATCCCTATCCTTCGAACGACGTAGTTTCCTTTTAGCACGCGATCCGCAAATTAGACTGGAACGACAATCTTCTGTGAGATTTATCGGAAAATCCGTTCTGCCAAACTTTCTGCTGACATTTGAATATCGAATTTGTCGCTGATTGTAAGTAAATCATTCCTCCTCTGAATACGATAATAAAGCACCGATTGATCAAATGCGATTGTCAGGAATATAAAATGTCAATATTTATTAATTAGAGAACAGATTATTGTACATTTCAATTATTTAAAACTTCTATATTTCTATATTTTCTATACTTCTATATTTTTCTAAAGTTATTAATTCCTATTGTCTAAAAGAAAGCTATTAAAAGTGAATCTATGTTTGTTAAATATTTTGAGTTTTTCCAATACTTTAAGATATTTCAAATAAGAGATTCAAGAGATATAAATATCATTTACGTGGTAGGTTACATCAAGAATGAAATGGCAGAGATTTCATCCTTTGGCGACTTCGAGAAGCGGCGATCTAAAAACTCATTTAGCCGCGACGCTTATCCCGAGATTTAATTAACGGTTTCAATTATCACCGACGACCGTTCGTCGAACTAACGTATCTCCTATTTCCTCCGAAACGCTCGATAGAATGGCTGGCGCGTACTCGATACATCTCGATAAATCAAGACACTCGATCGCGACATTCTCCCTACCGAATCTTCTTGCCTCCCTTCTGACATCGACAACTCGTCCCATATATCTCACGATGTGAATATCGATTTAGTAATACTTAAGACCCTCTAGAATATGTTGGAGAATAGTTAATGAATGTGAATTTAAAATAAGTAGAACAAAATATTTAAAAATATAATAAATACTATTTTAGCTTCATTAAAATGCTAAATAATGTATACACTTATATATATGTACATATATATAAGTGTATACATTATTTAGCATTTTAATGAAGCTAAAATAGTATTTATTATATTTTTAAATATTTTGTTCTACTTATTTTAAATTCACATTCATTAACTATTCTCCAACATATTCTAGAGGGTCTTAAGTATTACTAAATCGATATTCACATCGTGAGATATATGGGACGAGTTGTCGATGTCAGAAGGGAGGCAAGAAGATTCGGTAGGGAGAATGTCGCGATCGAGTGTCTTGATTTATCGAGATGTATCGAGTACGCGCCAGCCATTCTATCGAGCGTTTCGGAGGAAATAGGAGATACGTTAGTTCGACGAACGGTCGTCGGTGATAATTGAAACCGTTAATTAAATCTCGGGATAAGCGTCGCGGCTAAATGAGTTTTTAGATCGCCGCTTCTCGAAGTCGCCAAAGGATGAAATCTCTGCCATTTCATTCTTGATGTAACCTACCACGTAAATGATATTTATATCTCTTGAATCTCTTATTTGAAATATCTTAAAGTATTGGAAAAACTCAAAATATTTAACAAACATAGATTCACTTTTAATAGCTTTCTTTTAGACAATAGGAATTAATAACTTTAGAAAAATATAGAAGTATAGAAAATATAGAAATATAGAAGTTTTAAATAATTGAAATGTACAATAATCTGTTCTCTAATTAATAAATATTGACATTTTATATTCCTGACAATCGCATTTGATCAATCGGTGCTTTATTATCGTATTCAGAGGAGGAATGATTTACTTACAATCAGCGACAAATTCGATATTCAAATGTCAGCAGAAAGTTTGGCAGAACGGATTTTCCGATAAATCTCACAGAAGATTGTCGTTCCAGTCTAATTTGCGGATCGCGTGCTAAAAGGAAACTACGTCGTTCGAAGGATAGGGATGGCGAAGAATTTATAGTTACCCTAATATCGAAAACTCACTGTGTGAATAGTTTTCAAGGGGGATGATATAAATTTTAGGACTAATCCTGTGCTTCCATTTTCACGAACAAACTCCAGCGATAATTTTTCGCCTGATGTAAATCAGAGATCCTCAAGGCGTTCCAAAGGAAAACTTCTTAAATACAAATAAAAAATTTTACCATCGTTGAAGAAGGTAAATTATAGTCGATCTCCAAAGAATAATGAAGATTTTATCCTTATTTGCTAATTAACATAAAAAAAATCTTCGAAAAATAGCTGAAAAATTTGTTAATTAAATAATTAAAGACTTACTGTAACAACGGGTTGACGTAGCGGAATATTGGTAAAAATGAATGAGTGACAGAAAGTATTCATTTCCTCCATTTTTACAAAATGTAGGTTACGGTTGCTATAAGGTTTTCATTTCTAAATGTCAATAACGAAGAGAACACAAATTACGTTTGCATAAATATTTAAACATAAATATTTAAACGGTTGTGAGATATTTAATTTCTTTATCGTTTCAGGTCACAAAAATCTGAGGAAGTATCCGGTTATGATGTTCATCCACGGTGAAAGCTTTGAGTGGAACAGTGGTAATCCTTATGATGGCACTATATTAGCGGCTTACGGCAACATTGTTTTTGTTACCATTAATTTTCGACTTGGTATTCTAGGTAAAAAACATAAATTTTTTATTCAATAATACAATACGGTTACAAGAATCATAAAATAAAAGGAAGAAGAGAAGCCCTTTAAGCCAATGCAGTTAATAATGCGCGAATCAATATTTATAAATAATTACGTACAAAAGTATAAGTACATACAAATCACATACGTTTCGATCTCGCTTTGAGTCCTCACATTACCAATAAGCTTATTAGTGATGTGAGATAGTAATTAAGTTTTGATTGAATCTTCCATCTACATTCTGTTAATGTGATTCGTCAGCACCTCTTTAAAGAGCTGATCTTTTGTATATATTTATTTGTAGAAGAATTTTAACCTTTCTCAATTTCAATTATTTTTACATGACGATAGAAGATTTGATCGAAATTTAATTACCATCTCATATTACCAATAAACGCTGAAAAGGATACTAATCGGGGTCAAAATGTATGCGATTTGTATGTAATTATTTATAAATATATACAATAATTTACATACCGCTAATTTGGCTTTGGCTCATACAGGCTTATCTACCTTTTATTTCGAAATTGTTTAAAGTTATTAGAGCCGCTAATTGATGCGATTTGTGAAATTGTGGGGATTGATAAAACAATCAACAAATGTTTAACACAAGGACTCAGCCCATGTTGTATGTTTATTTTGTATGTATTGTTAAATATATCCAAATGAAAATGACCACAGTAACCAAATGTTTGGTACAATGGTTGATTGTTTTATCAATCTTCGTTTCACAAATCACATTTGTCAAATAGCGTGTCTCTAATAGCTCTTAATATTATATATAATTTGTGTTCCTAGAATCTATCTATTTGTTTTTAATTATTAATTGTTGAAAGAATGTGATAGATACAAAGATCATTGCAACACGATGGCTCGTCTTTGTTGGTCTTATCTATAAACAACAAAGAGTTGTCGATCGATCCAAGAGGAAAAGTACTAATATACTTTAACTGTATACCACGTCGAATAAATAACTTCGTTACGGTTTGTCGTTTACCAAGGCTGCTGCCTGCTTCGCAAACTTCCTACCTAAATTTTTATCGCTTCGAGCTTTTCAATATTGGATTTTGCTTTCAAAGAAAGTTTACCGAGGTCACGATACAAGGCAGTAGATTTATCACGTCACCGGAAGTGTAAATGATGCTTTTCACTATATCATTTTAATCACAAACAACTATTTTAAACTAAAAAGAAAAGCTGTCTTGTGCGCTTGTAAAATTCGCAGAGGTAACATAGATGTAACAAGAAATTTTATCTTTTGGATTGCTCGATTCAGTTAAAACATTATAAAAATATTCGTATTCATACGGGCGATTTAACAACAATGAGGTCATGCTAGATTGCGACATGGTACTTTCTGGTATGAAAAAACGTTAAATTATTCCGTGTATTATCCAGGTGTGCACTTTTCTCATTGTTACTTAAAAAAAAAGTATATAACTGATGTGGTAATAGTATATATTTCTCTGCCGTTGCACGAGGGCGGTCATGCGAAAGCGTCATTATTCAAAAAGTTCGTTAAAAACTGCCATCCAGAAGTGTGGTGCATCGCGGCACCTGCAATCCGAAATTGTCGTGTACTGTGGTCGTCCTGAAGGGGTTAACAGCGAAATTCCGGCAATCCCTTCTCGCGAGATGACAGCGACGGCGCGATGCAAATAGACGAGCTCGTGGTGCGCACGTGTACGGGTGTGAGTACATTCGGTATATCCGGTAAGTGGAGTGGTTGGCGGAAGAAAAAAAGAGGCGGACGCGAAACCATAATCATAAATTAGGTTAAAGTGCTGGGGAAGCGCTTAGTAACCCCGACCCGCTCTAGGTGGCCGTGGAGTTAGCCCGTGAGGAGCCTGCGGATAGCTTCTACCCGCCCTGCTATGCCGCCACCATGTCCGCCCTGCGCAAAACAGGGGAAAAATATGGTCCCGAGCGCGAAGCGGCTGCCGAGCAAAAACAGCTCTGGCGATCGCGTTACCGCGCGAAAGTGCTTCATGTTTAAGCACGAGGGGGAGAATTTTGCATCTCCGTGGAGCTAATTAATTGGGACACTGAATACACGAGTCCCCGGGGATCTTGAAACCTGGAATCCCAGTTATTCGAGAGCCTCAATAAGAAACAAAAAAAGAGAGGTGTGTCTCAGAAGCTTTCAGGTTGTCGAGAGATGGATATTTATGGGATTTATTTTAATGAGCTTTACTTCTTTCTTTCACGGATTCTTGGATTTTCAGTTTGAACAGGTCTTACCGTTGAAAAATTTTAAGACACACCCTTCGACCATCGTTTCTTAATGCGCAAGTTTATAGTCCCTTGACTTTTTAGATTCTTAATTAGTTCAAGGAATTCTCATTCGTTATTCGTTTAAGTTTTATGCTTTTAGTGATTGGAAGTAATAAAACTTTTAAACAAATAACATGGGAAAATTTCTTGAATTAATCTAATCCATAGGTTTCTATATAAATCTCAGGCTTTCAAAGTTTATTCTTAGTTTCTTCAGTTTTTCTAAAACGTTTTCCTTTTTCAATTTTTATAAATAATTAATTATTGAGATATTTATTCGTGTAGTAAATGCAAGACTTTTACTGTAGGTTTCCTGAGACCTGGAATTAGAGACGATACAGCAAGCAATTTTGGACTGTTAGATCAAATAGCAGCATTACTTTGGCTAAGGGAAAACATTGCGGAGTTTGGCGGCGACCCTAATAGTGTTACTTTGGTCGGCCATGGAACTGGAGCTATCTTTGCTAATCTACTTCTAATCAGTCCAGTTGCCAACAAAAAAGGTAAATAGGAATAGAAGTTTGTACATTATATTACATTAACACAATCACGTTTTTTTCTTGTTCCTATAAAATCTTTCTTTCTTAATGTTGTTTTCTACGATTCAGTTTTCATTTCTTATTTTATTGTCTTATCAATTTTTGAAAGTCGTCCCGAAAAAAGTTTAACATCCACTAGCTTGCAACAATACGCTCTCGCAAGAATCAAAGGACTATATGCAATCCGAGTTAATCCTTCTCCTCGTTGTAATTGGAAACATTATCCATAGTCACAGGAGCGTACAGTGATCGCATATAGGGATCACGATTTCCGAGTCGGCGAGGGATAATCGTGAGATTAATTGGAGGAATCAAGCTGAGAGAGATAGGCATACGCATTAAATGCAATACATGTGTACAGTCGAAACAATATTCGATCAGTATATGCTTTGGAATAA